AGTTTTTAGACTATCTTTCACATAAACAAGCTGTTCTTCCTGTTGTCTTAATTGGGTTTAAGCAGCATAAATGAGGAACAGGGGTTTAGTTTCATGAGTCTATTCAGCTGCTAGGATTTTATGAATTTAGGTAGGAATTACATGACTACATAAAGTACTTAATACCCTCTATTGTTCTTATGTCTATTAGACCTTGAACGTACACTAAACATACTCAGATTTTGATTTAGAACTTCAATGCTCATTAAAGAAAGTTTATACTAATAAATCTATTCTTATGCTTCTAGTACAGCATTGAAAAAGCTCCCTTAGCAATATGTAGGGTACCTGCAAACTTCTTGAGCCTGTAGGATTTGCATTATTCATTTATGGAGTCTGATTTCAGCCATTCATTGCCTCTAGCAAGTATCAAGTTCTTAATGTGCTAGAAATATTGTATGTTAGTGTTCTAACATATGTATATATGCATGTGTGCACATGCTCTGTCTCTCTGTGTATGTATTGATATAGATGTGTGTGTATGTGTGTATATATATACAATACAGTATAAATATCTCACCTTGTAAACTGCTCAGTTACTTTATTTCATTGTGCAGCATTTTTGCATTCAGTCAGTATTGTTAGTTTTGTTGGAATACTGTTCAGTCTGTTTCACCTCATACGTTAGTAAGGCTGTGGTCCTAGATGCTATTCAACCAGCCTTCTTCCCTGAAAACTAAGGTTTTCAGATACAGCAGAACAGCGTATTCCTTCTGTATTCATAGGCAGTAAAAGCTGTTCTGCTGTATTCCTTCTGTATTCATAGGCAGTAAAACTGCTAGAAACTTTTGGATGGAAGGGTTTGGCAACTGCTTCAGTGAGCAACTGAAAACCTGGGAAATACTTGAGGTCTCTTTCCTTGTTGGCATGTTTCTTGAATTTTAAGCTAAGATAATACAGAATCTTAAAATAGCAAACATGAGAACTGGCTGTATAGATGAAAGAGGATTATTTATGTATCTCCTACTGCTATAAAGAATCCAGACCCTTGTCTCTAGAGAAAATATGGAAACTTCCAATTACAAGTTCTAATGCAGTCCTAATTCTAGCAGTTCTTGCTTGGTTTTTCAGATCTATCAAATTTACTTATTATCTGATTGCCCTGTTATTGATAACAACTAGTGATAAAACTGACCCAAAATACACAAAACAGCTAAGAAAATGTTTTAGGTATTTTGTGTGATCTGCATGTACGCAGGTAATTAGATCCAGAGTTCCTGATAGTAAGTTACAAGCTACTACCTTCTTATGAATAAACAAAATTTAAACTTCATCCTGTGAGGCATGGCACCAAAAATGACAAAAAAATTGTTTAGTAGTAGGCAAAATGGTGCAGAACATCCTTTATTTTAGCATCTTGCTGATTAGGGATTGTGTTTTCAAATTTTGCAGAAATAAATTGCCCTGAAGCCTAGACCAGACTCACTTGGTATGACTGCGGGCTGGGGAGACAAAATTGGTGCTGTTGCGCAACAGCTGTGATACCTGTTGATCACTCATTCTGCTGATCACTGAATTCAGCGTTTTTAGTCATGCCTCTGTTGTCTCCAATTCCCATGCGTGCATGCTCTGCTTTCTGAATTTTAATTGGATTGTGGTGGATTATGCGTTATGGTGGACTAGATATATACCGTGAATTCTCTTAACATCCAAAATATGAAACGGTCAAATTGCATGTGCTTTTGGGAGATTTAGCAGAATTTTTCTGAAGTTTAACAGTTTCTGAGGCTGTGTGTTAAGTGGAAGGTGTATTAGCTAGATAGGTCCTTCAATTTCTTGTGTTGTTTTTGTGATTCATGTATTCAATGTAGAAATATTTTTATTAAACATGATCAGGCTTTATACGTAAGGGTGGCAACCTGTAATTTTTCTTCTGGTTTCCTGTCAGAGTTTAAACAAACTGCTTTTGTCTCCTGAGATCATTCTTTGACTGTTCGAGTCACATGGAAGTGTTGACTGCTGTTCCGTGTCTGGAACAGCTTGTGACCCTTTACTGGAAAAAAGCAGCAGCTACATTGTAAAAATGTGCAGTGTAATATCTCTGAATAGCTCTGTTGTTGACACTTGTATAGAAAAATCACCTACTCAACTACAAATACAAGAAGGGTTCATTGTGCAAGACCAACGCGTACTACTTAGGTTGTTTATCGACTTTCCTAAATTTGAGTTAAGTTTGGAAGGTTTGCACCTTTTTATATTGCTCATTATAGACAACCAAATGAGGGATAAAAGCTGCGTCAATATAAAATTCCAAACCTGCATGTAAAAAAAAAAAAAAGTTCAGTTTCTAGAGGCTTTTGAAAATTGCATCTATTAAATTTGCATTGCAAACTTTCTCATGCTTCATTGTAAATGTTTAAACCCTTCGGTTGAAATCGGTATGCATGCACTCTCTGTCTTGCCATATTATAATACTTGGGTTCAAAACTGACAGTTCTGTGTTAGGGCTGTAACCTTGAGCGCAAAGGAGAAGCTAGGCCAAAAAAATCCAGAATATATGTGTTGGATGAAATGAGAATAAATGAAGTTGCACTAAAATAGAATTAGTATTAACATGTTGTAGTGTAGCCACACAATTACGAGGAATGGAGGAGGGAAGTAAAAAGGACTGGCTTTGGTAAAGAGAATGAGGTAGTAGGCATGTTTTAAGCTGTGGTAGATTCAAATTGAAGAAGTTTGCATGGATCTCTTATTTCTCTACTGTTTTGTAGCATCAAAGACATGAAGTACTGAAATAGTTTGGTAATAGTAATTTGTGCTTTTAGCAAGAGTGTCTCCTGTGTGATACTAAAAAATACTACACTTGAAAACAGGGAAGAGTATGTTATACGGGGGGAAAAAAAAAACCTATGGAAGTTGCACTTCATTTCATGGTGTATTTGGCTCTCCATATCTTTTATTAGAAAATCAGTGATACACTAGAGGTACCGAGAGAGGGAAGAATACAAACTCTTTAGGTTTAGAACAACTGATTTTGTGGAGAGGGGAAGCTTCATAGGCAGAATGTGACTGGGAACCCGACATTGAATAGTTGAAGATTTATACTAACTGTGAGAAGTTTGGGCTTTTGCAGTTATTTAAGTAAATAGCTTATTAGAAAAAATGCTGGGCATTAAGAAGTTTCAGGCCAGACTCTGCTAAAAGTATTGAAACATTTTCATTACAGTGTTTAACAGAAGTAGGGCTTGTCATTCTCATGTACCCCGTTATAAGACATTGTTTTCAATTGCTGTGGACTTGGCTGAACTTTATTTGTACTGAAGCTGTCAGAATCAGATTTTTTTTTTTCCAAATTCAAAAGCTTATTTAACCACAGTTTAGTAATGTTTGAGAAAAGACTTTAAAGCTCCAGCACATCTGTCTATAGAGCATTTTCACAACTCTTGCCACTTCTGGCATAGATTATGCATGCATGGTAACCACAGGTCAATGAAACTTGTCCCCTTACATCTTCAAACGGTCCCAGAATACTCAACATAATTCTGCCAGCTCAAGGCTACAGAGTTAGTCCAAGAAATTTTTGTATCTGTTTATCACAACTGAACTAAAAGCAGGGACTCTGCTGCTGCTCTTAGTGACTTCCAGGCTGATGCCTAATCATATTAGGGGCAAGAGAGCTAGTAGGGCAGCTTAGCTAAATAGCTTAAGATGAGGAGTATGTACAGAGACTGGGTCTCAAGACTAGCAAAGGGTGCCTTTCTGCTCAAGTGTTTGGAATGCTAAAGACAGTTCTTTGAATGCATGGTTACTTGGGTGCAGTGATAACTACCTGAGGAAAATACCTTCTCTAGATCAGGAGACAGATGGGAGATTTATTCAAAGCTATATCCGTACTCATTGGGCATACAGATAACTGATTACTGCCATTATAGTCACCCAAAGAACTGACTGTTTTCTTGCAAAACATAGGACGCTCTGAGATGACATTTCGGGCAACTGGGGCTAAATATGCCCAACCTATTATGAGCAAATTAGGCTTTAGCAATCTTTAGTCCTTGGTCTTTTTTTAAACAAAAACCTACAGCTAATATAAAGTTATACTTTTCTTGAACACACTTCCACTCTCACACTATGGTAGACAGCAGCAGAAAGAGGTGATTGATCTGATGACAGAAGCAAAAGCCCTATACAGGAGTAAAATAAATGACCAAGTTCATTTCCTGAAGTAAGAATGAAATTACTATTTAGCTTTCAGAAACCTCTGTTGTGGAACTAAAAAGTAACATTATATGTAGCGATTTACTTTTTCTTTTTAAATGGTCCTCAATCTCATTTGCCTGTATGCTTTTTTATTTCATCCCAGATCAATTAGCATAATATTTTTTTTCTTCATTTGGATCTTCTGTTTTGCAAAAGGAAATGGTTGGTCTCCTTCATTAGATAGTCACAGTAGAAACTTTGAAATGGTGAGGAGTGTTTAATGTGTTTGCGTTCTGGTTTTTCTTCGATGAAATTACCTGCAAATCTGTTTATAAATGCAAAACTAGATGTGGAGTGATTATTCTGAATTCATGAAGTTCATAAAACTCTCTGAAGTACTTAACAATAGCCACCTAATTTCAGTTTTTAAAATAAATACTAGCTGAAGTACATGAATGTATGCCTTCGTTTAAAGGACAGTGTTGTCCAAACCAATGAATTTCTAGTAGGGAAGAGTTGCAGACTTTGATCTCTGGGTATAAGGAAAGCGGTGTGTGTTTTTTGGGGGAATTTTTTTGGTTTTTTTTGTGTGTGGGGTTGTTGTTTGGTTTTTTTTTTGACTACTGCACAATATTGTCTGCTTTAGAATGGTAGTTTTCTTTTTTCCCCGGATTGGTGTTAAACTCCAGGTTTACCCAGAAGAGGTGTATAACTTGAAACAGGTAAAGAGTTAGGAGTTTCCTGGTACTACAGACTTAGAATTGTTGTACCTACAAGATTTATATAGGCTTCTCTTTTCCCCTCCCCTTTTTCTGTTTTAGGTGAAATTGTGGTAAATGAAGTAAATTTTGTAAGAAAATGCATTGCAACAGATACAAGTCAATATGACCTGTGGGGCAAATTGGTTTGCACTAACTTCAAGATTTCCTTTATTACGGATGACCCAATGCCACTACAGGTTTGTTATTACTCACATCGCTACATCATGACAACAAATGTGATAGGTAAAATGGATTTAATTAGAATATAGTGAATCTGTCTCATATCTGATATAAATATGATGCCTTCTAAAACAAAGCAGGCTAAATGATGAGGTTCCACTGTCCCGTTCTGAATGTGTTGCTATTCCGTCCCTTCATTGAGAATATCAGAATGGAGCAAGTTTGGTATGGAAGTACAGCCAGCTCTGTTTACCTCTGTTTATGGAGGCTTCATTGGGAAGTGGTTTTACAACAGGCAAAGCAGGAATTATATAAAAACATCTTTCTCCTTGAAGAAGATAATTGCAAATGTTCCTTTGACTAGACAAGCGTCAGATCAGCAAAGCCTTTAATGCATCCAAGTTTTATTGGCGTTACTGATGGAGGACAAAGTAACCATGAAATGAGTTTTCATTGTAGATGAAGCAACAAGAATAGGGGAGAAAGAAACAAAGCCTTTGTCAAAGCAGAACATGTGACATTCAAAACCTCGATCAGTTTTTGAACAGCACAGCATACAGTACTGTTTGGAAATCCAAGTTGTGAGCTGTATGTTATTTTCAGTAGAGTTTTCACTTTCATTTTGGGCTTTTGAAAGAAATGCTTCATTAACTAGGCATGTGTAAAGCTCTGAAAGTAGATAGGTGCTTCTTCATAATGGTTAGTAATTTTGACTAAAATTACTTCAAAAAATTAATTTTTGACGTGAAGTAGTTGTCAAAACTTATTTCTGAAAGCTGAATTAATATTTTTTTTTCTATGGTTACAGCAATAGTTGGAGTTTTTTATATCATCTATCTATATATATATTACACTTCAGAGTGTATTGAATTTCTACCAGCAATTTTTGAGGCTAGTAAATTCAGTGCAAGTAGTGGGGTTATTTTGGATACTCCACTGGGGTTTCTAAACTGTTTGGTATGCATTCACCAGCACAAGAGAGCTGTTTCCACAACCTCTCATTGCCTGTGAATAGGCAAGGGTGGTACTTGTCAGAAGAGTCTAGGCATGCCTGATCTTTATCATAGTTTCTTCAAAGTTGTGCTGTATATCTGGTTGCGAACTGCAGAACTGCAATTAATGGCTATGAGTTAATGTGTTTCAGAAATTCCATTATAAAAACCTCCTCCTTGGTGAACATGATGTCCCGCTAACATGCATTGAGCAGATTGTCACAGGTATGTCAAAAATAGTTAAGTATGATGACAGGCTTTAAACTTACTCAGTTCAAAACTGTTAACTGCTTGTTAGGTTGTGCAGAATTGTTGACACTTAAGGCTTTACGTCATTAATCTTCCCTGATTTGAAGAATTTGGTTTATTTAAAATTAGGATAAAAGCCTTAAAAGCTGAATAAAACTTGAGGTGCCATGCAGGAGACATATTTAGTTGGGTCTTTATATTGGTTTTAAATTTAACTACAATACTGAATCAACAGGTGTTCTAGGATAGACACCTGTTATAGTAGTACAAAATCTTGTTAGCAACTTTTTTATATTCAAGCATCTGAATCTCCTCCTTTTAAATACACTGGATTGCAAAAAGCACATCACTTACACAATTTACACATAGCTGGGATATCTGACAACATAAATGCTTGAGTTTTCAATCTTGTCTAATTCTTAGCAAGTTAGTAGCTAGTGGTCCTCAAAAATCTACAAATGGCAACAGACATCTTAATCTGAAGAAATAATTTATAAAATATTATTTTGAAGAACCAGTTTTTGATTTGGTGGATACTTTAGGCTAACCTGTTTGTTAAGAAGAATGTTTTTCATCTTGTAATTGAATTTCATATAACTGATAATTTTTCAAATCTTGATTACAGCATTGGCTGTTAAATACTTGGTTTTCTGACTGTAGGTAATTTAAATTATTACTTATAAGTTTTCAGTGCCCAAAGTTATCCAATAATCCATTTCTACTCTGAAAGCTGGTTGTAATCACTGTGAAAAGATTAATGTATATCTGAGGAAGAACGTTATGTAGAAATGCTTTTTTTTTTTAAATGAAGAGGTGCTATTGACCTGTTATATGGTCTTGCCCTGGCCCACATTTGTTGCCCCTTTTCAAAAATACCAGGTAGAAGTGACAAAACAGTAGCAGTATTGCAAATCTGTTAATGACAGTTTTGTATGGAGAGATGTTTATAAATGGAGTGTTGCAATCTTATTTAACATCTCATACAAACGCTCCTATAATAAATTCTGCTAAATACGGGGGGAAAGCCAGCCAGCCTCGAATGATTTTTCTATTAATTATGTCCTCTCTCACATGAAATGTGTTGTTCCTAAATGGGAGAGGACTACAGATAGCTTTTATTTTGAAACTTGACAGCTGACAGATTCTAGATTACTCTTTTGTGCGTGTTTCCCCAAACTGTCAAATAGCATGAACGTTTGCAGTTTCATTAGAAGAATCGTAGAAGTTCTCTAGGAACCCTTTCTGTTTAACTTTTCCATTGAGGTTTGAAGCTCTTTAGAGGGAGAGGGCAGTATTTCCTGCCACACACTTGAGATTATTCTTTGTTCTTCTGTTATACAGGTTTACCCTAAATTTAGTGAAGCATAAGCTTTTACTAACAGGAATTAAGGGGAGATTTTCACCCACACTGCAGAAGAGGTTGCTCGATGGTTGTTATATTGAAGGTGAATAGCTGGAGGTGTCCTAAAACACTTGTCTTTAGTTCCCTGGAAGTACTTATGTTTAACCCAGAAGATACCTGCAACCAGGCACCTATGTCAATTAATCACTCAACAGCTACGTGCCCCATTTTTCCCAGTTACCACAAATAAAATCTCTGTGGCTTCTGTGATACTTACTTTTTACAACTTAACTTTCTCTGTTTGAAAAGGAGATACATAGGCCAAGAGACACAGCCTGTCTATGCAGGGCTAGACCAGCTGGCAATTTACTATACTTACATTCTTGAGTTTTATGTAAGAAATAAGGAGTTAATCTTCATCTTAACTCCAGCACTTTTTTATACATCCAAGTAAAAAAAAAACTAAAAAAAAAATCACTCAGCATATATGCCAATTACTGTGCATCAGAAGGGCATTGCAGCATACACAATTAACTGTCTGGGAGCAAAAATTGCTCTTGGGAATACTGCATGTGAATTCCTTGTTTGTGAAGTTGTTGATGGACAAAAATAATCTGGGCATATAGGAAACAGTAATTCAGCCACTTGTTTGAAAGGAGATTGATCAACAGGAGGACCTATAGATTTTCTGCCTCAATTGAACAGTTGAAATATACTATTAAATGAAAAACTGCTGGTAGCAGCATTACTGTATCTGTTTGAGCCAGTCTTGTATTGTATACTTACAAAACAGTCCAATAGCTTTGTCTTTTCTTTACAGTGAATGACACCAAGAGGAAGCAGAAGGTCCTTGGTCCGATCCAAAAACTTAAATTTAATCCAAACTTAAATTTAATCCAACTGAATTAATAATTTATTGCAAAGACTTCCGTATTGTCAGATTTCGTTTTGATGAAGCGGGTCCTGAAAGTGCAAAAAAGGTATTATATCTTATGAAATCTTGCCTTGTAGTCATTACATGTAGCAACAGCTGTGCTAATAACATTTTGGTTTATGTTTTGATAGAGAAGTAGGGGGGAAGAATTGCAAATTAATCACATTCTGTTACAGGAGAATACCTAGATTTTTAGAGTAAAAATTATTAGGTAAAAAATTTAACATGATGTATTAACTGTTTTTCACATAAGATAAACCTGCATTTCTTGTCACATATGTTGTACTTTTTAAAATTACTAATTCATTAAACAAATCTTTTTAAAGACTGAAATCAGAATATTGCATTGCAGCTGTACAACAGGTGTTTACATTTTTATGGAAAATGTTTGAAACTTTGATACATTTTCTGAAAGTCTTAAGTTTAATTTACCCATAGCTAAAGTGTACTATCTTATATACACACTTCTTATTTGCTTCACACACAAGTTCTCCAACGAGCTCTTGGAATTGCCAGTTTGTCTAACCTATGTAAAACTATGTGCTCTTTCTCAACATTTTCTTAGAAAAGATTTGCATACCTCTTGACAACAGGCATTACTTCTGTCTGTACATTCCTAGAAATTTCATTCCTTCCCCAGTTTTAACACTTGCTGTCATAAGCCTCAACAAAATCATACAATGTTATTTAACCTGGTGCGGTTCAGGTAAGTTTCTGCTCATCAGAGACGGTTAGTCTATGTAGCAACATTAGCTCACCAGCTTCCTTGCTCTGGATCGGTGCCATAGGTTATTTGAGTTACAGCTCCTCTGACCTCCATGGCACCACTTCGTGGCCAGGCGTGGCACAGCAATCGTTTTGTAAGGAATGACCCAATTTGCTCACGGAGCTTAAGAATTCCCCTTCTCAGTAGGATAAAGTTTGAGCTTAACCCTGTAAGTCCTGAGAACCATCTGCCCAGACATAAGTCTGTTTGCAGTTATCAACTGAGTAACTGATGAACCAGTTCATCACTTCTTCACCTTTTACTCTCTCGGGGATCCATGGGCAGAAGCCCAGTAATGAAGCAGACTGTTCTTTGCTACTTTCCTAGGTTCCTCCCTGCCTGCTGCCTTTGCTGTTTGTAATCTTTCATGTTTGGCAATCTTTCAACAGTCAATTCCCCTTCCGCAGCTTCTCTGAAATCTCCCTGGAGCAGCCTGTCTGCTGCAGTATCTTTATAGCGACTCTTTCTGATTGGCTGTCACAGCGGAAAAGAGTGATTAGCCTGGAGAAGGGAGGAAGGGAGCGCAAACTCAGTATCTGATTAACACTTGTTGTGCTGCATTTACTTATGCAAGAGCAAAAAGTGAAACCTTTTTATGAAGGCGCTTGCTTTATACATTTATAATTACATGGTCTGACGTGATTTCTTTTGATAGGAAGAACAGCGAGTTCTAGAGATCCAGAAGGATCTGAATCTGTATGGTTGTAAAGATAGTATTTTGGTGGTGACCAAAAGTGTAACGGTTGCCACTTTCAAATATCAGAATGCCCTCACTAGAGGAGTGGAAAAAAACTTGTACAAATCGTAATATCAGCTGTGTGGCTACTATTGCAGTTTTGATGCATCACGTAGGTTACTGCAACTTTGTGTGGGTGTATCACAGAAGCACACTCTTACCGAAGGGAGGAAAGGTTCTGTTAACCTAATCTAATGTTTCCATAATAACACTATTCTTAAAATATGAATGTCTAAAACCATGAGGTGCTTAGATCAGGTTTCTTCTATCAGGATTTTGCTTAAATTATTTTGGGATCCTGGTGAACACAACTAGAACGGTCTTACACAGCATATTGAATGGAGTTATTTTGTTCTTTCTGGCATTTAAAATGGTATGCTAGCACTACACTCTTGAAAGATTTCGTCTGGTTTCTGTTCCTGCCCTTCAAGTAGTACATATTAGCAAGGTTGTCCTGATGTTTAAAACAAAGGAAGGTGGTCAGGCCTCCTTATATTTCTGAAGGGCCTCTTTAATACATATTTACATCCAGCTATTTGTGCATGAAAACATTGGTAGCTGTCTACTTGGAAATAATTGTGTGTGCATAACTTTTGTAGGGAGAACCAAGACTTAAAGTATAACTGAGTTCTGATGAGAGGGAATTCCTGCTCTTCTCTTCAGCTGAGCGTGCTAGCATTGTCTTCTGACTGAGAGGATATTGTAATAGAGAACTGATGGTGGAGTCAGAGGTGCTGGATGGGAGGGGCCTGTGGAGATCACCTAGTCCACCTTTCTCTTCAGAGTTGCCAGGATTAGATCAGGTTAGCTGTGGATTTGTCCAGTTGTATCTTGAAAACCACCAAAGATGGAGAGCTTTCTCCCTCTGTGGGTAACCTGTTCCAGTACTGCATGTTTTTCCTGATGTCCAGCTTGAATGTCCCAAGATGAGTTTCTGGCTGCTGCCCATTATGTCATCTGACAAGACTGAGTCTGTAACTACGTTCCTGGTAGCGGCTTCCTGCAGTCTCATTATTGCACAGCTAAATGAGCCCAGTTTCTTCAGAAGATGTACTTTAGGACCATAGTCATCTTGGTAGCCCACCACTGGACCCTCTCCAGCTTCTCCTTTTTCCTTTTGACCTGGAGGCCTAATCTCCAGTCATCTCTGAGAAAAATCAAAATAATTGTCAGCTATATTTTTTTCCTCACAAATTTGCTTATGCTCATTTTGGGGCTAGATGTGAAGACCTCCCGAGTGAAAAATGAACTGGGTAAATTGTGCTTGTGTGTTTTATG